AAAATACTACTGTTCCTAGTTGGTTCCCAGATGAATTGGAGAAGAAAACCATACTGAATTATTTTTAAAAACCCATTTCCCTCATGGTTCGACTCAATATGCCTGAAATTAAAACCTCCCATAATTATGATCTCATTAACAACTGAATTATCTCACTATAGAGTTTCTCAATAATTTCATCAGATAGTCTGTAACAGGTTCCAACTAAAAGCCTTTTCTCCTTATAACCCCTAACAGAAAACCAAATGCATTCAACTTCTTTGCTATTTGCCATGTTATCAAGTTTTAGATTAAAAAAAGCCACTCCTCCTCCTGTTTTAAATTCTTTATCCCTATTGAATAACATACAACTGTATTTCAAAGAAATTTTTGTCATCAAAAATTGTCTACATTTCACCAAGTTTCAGCCATTTTCATTACATTAAAATCCCTTGTTCCCACTAGTGCTCCAAAGTCTTCTATTTTATTTCTTATATTTTTAGAATTACAATAATTATAGTTTAGCTTACCCTTGAAGCTAATTATATACATTATTCCTACACTATACTTTCCTTTATTCTGTGCATCTTATTTTTTCTTTAGATAGTTTATTCTGGCCTTCGTCACTGTCTAGTCCTAGTTTAAAGCTGCCCTTACAGTTATTACCTCTTGCAAACAAACCAGCCCCTGCCCTATTTAAACATAAACCATTCGTTCCAAAGAGCTCCCTTTTCCCACAGAATTGATCCCACAAGCCCACCCTGCTCATCCTTACATATGACATAGTTTCACATTTTTTCTTTATGATCTACTTCTGAAAAAAGTAAGTTATAATGGCCCTTTTCTCTAAGTTATTTTATCAATCATTTGTACTTGTTAATTAGTTTCTATGACCTACCCTTCCCTATATCAATAGCCCCCATGTGTATTACCACTAGTTCTACTAGTAGGGCTTCACTGTTTCACTTGTTCTGTCATTTTAACAATTTCTGCTTTGAACTGATGTATTGTGTTGCTTTCTGTTAAATTTATTACATTTGTATCTAACTAAAAACAATGTAAATTTTTTCAAAAGATACCAGTGTCTAATTTCATAATTTTGAAGTCAGGATACCTTTAATTGCATTACGTAAAATAAAGCTGCATTATGTGAGGGTAGAAATGAATACCTTGCCTAGTAAAATGTTTATATAATAACTTTAATATACTTTTGTTATATATTTTTATTTTGAGCACAATTCTGTTACTTAGATTTATTAAGTAAGCAGTGATCATGCTTATTAAAGTGAATACAGCTTTGATGGGTTTCATCCATTTGCTATACATTAAGCTATAGTCGATTAAAAATTCATTTAACCAATACGTTACAAACTTAATGAATGCTTACGTGTGGAAGGTCTTACCATATCCCTTAGTCAATATAATGCTGCATCCAAAGACCGAACAGCAAGGCATTGTGATTGCAATTACTTAAGAAAAACAGTAATATATTGGTTTAATACAGCCAAGTGAATTGTGTATTGGATGTAGTAAGATCACTGTTGTTAGTCTTCTGGTGTCTTCATCACCTGCCATAAGCTGATAGTGGAGTGTGCTATTCACATTATAGAGATCGGTGTTTCAGACAGTGCATTGTTCCAAAAAGTGCATAAAGATGCAATTAATAAACAACTTTGTAAAACAGAAACGCTAAGTGTAATTCTCATGTGATACTGTATAATTTACTGATTTAAAGCTAAAAACTAAGACCACTTGTATAAAGTATTTTAGATTTGCTGTTCTACACAAGCACCATTAGAAAAAATATAAATATAAATTTTATTAAATGTTGCTTGTGTAGAACAGCAAATCTAAAATACTTTATACAAGTGGTCTTAGTTTTTAGCTTTAAATCAGTAAATTATTAATTTCTTTCAATAGATAGAATTCTAAAAAAATTATGCAACAAAATTGCATGTTGTTCTTTTGGAACACAAAATTTGACATTGAACTTGGAAGTAGTTCTGATCTAGCTACAACATAACATGCTCATCTAATTTAAAATAGCTTACAAAAGATGGTGTAATATCTTCATTCCTTGTGTTACGAGGACATTCCACTTCCAACAGTGTTATCACCAGTGATTCTGTCAGGTGTGTTTTCACTCCATTGCCTTTTTCATATTTTTCTATCCCCACACTTTCATACATTCAACTATACAACAAAGCTAGAGGTCTTAATATTATTGCATTTGTTAGCCTTTTTACTAGCTTATGCATGTCCTTGCACAAGGTTAACTTCACTGTTTCACCAGTTACTAGAAGTCAACCTGTAGGACCTGATTTTTAGCCAAATTTGACTAGTTGGTCCAGCATCAGTTCTTAAGTATAGTATATAATTAGGTATTTTTCAAATAACACATTATTACATATAGTTAACAATGTCAAAGATTTTCAAGTAGCATAGTGCACACCAGAGTGTAAACATGTTTTATGAACAGAAACAGCTAGTACCCAGTAAAAAACCTTTAATTCCTCAATGGTTCACCTAGTGGCTTTACCAAGAGGTAGACTGGTCTTGTAATCTGTACGGTGTCTATCTCTTGATAAAGCTGTAAGGTGAAACATTGAGGAATTAAAGAATTTTCACTGAGTACTGGCTGTTTCTCTTCATAAAACGATGTCAAATCTTTCTGATCTATTATGACCTGTCTCACTTTGTAGACTAATAAAAATTAATCATACCAATTTACCAGTTTCTTTTTTGCCCTCATAATTTTGCTTCTTTTTTAGTTCTTCTCTCAGTCTATACATCCCATATTTTGCTATTTTTTCTTGTTGTAAAGTTCAATGAAAATGACTGTAGCAAAGTAGAGTCCTAAACTGATCCACTTTAAAGTTGGAGCCATTTAAAGCATTGTTCTAAATCTACATCATTACTACAAAAAAGGAAGTTAAACTTCCAGTGAAAACAGGGGCAATGGTCATGGCACAACAAACATGTAAAATAATCAGACCAGAAGTTATTTGTAATAATTCTTCTTCTAATGGCTGAGGCATAGCAGAACCAAACACTCCAGCTTGTAATGAGAAGTTGATGGTTGAAAGAACTCTCCTGGATGTAAATAATAAATATTTCATACATGACTTTACCAAGGAAAACTTAAATTAGCTCGTATATAGCAAAATGTAGTTATGCCATAAGTGCTGATAAAACTGGATTCAATCAAGGTGACATATACAGCTGAACAATTCTTGTCCCAAGAGAGAACAAATTCCAAAGTTAAGTAGGTGCTCTAAGGAAAGGCGATCCAAGACAAAGGTCAACCATCATGATCATCTTTGGAAGTATGTTGATGAGAGAATGGCCACATTGGTAACTCCTGAGAATAACTTGTCAGTGGAAATTCAACTTCCTGAGGAGCCTGGAGTTCCTGTCAAAACTATTTCCAACCACCTACCCACGAAGAACTGTGCCAGTGACAACAAGGTATGAGATGCCATCCCATCCACATACTATGGGCCTCAGAAGAGAAAATCACCAAAAAGATTTTGTGAATAAACAACTTAGTGTGGTTATTTATCATTTCTTTTATTAGGATCGTTCAAAGGGACTTCACAATTCAGGAAGGGGACAGTGCTGTATGCTATATTTTTAATGTGTAATTTGTATGTTACCTAAAGGGCACTTTATCTTAAAATAATCCTAGAATGCCTAGAAGATTCTAAGTTGATGTTAAGTTGTCAAAGCTAGATTATAAATACAAGGTAGACATGAAGTGTGCAATTATTTCAAGATAGAAAGTTGAATCAATCAGTGTTTCCATGAGATATGTTATGTATTAGGGCAAACTTATATCCTTTTCTTAGTACATTTTCTTTAGTTTCTGTTTAATGATTGATTGCTCAAGTTTATCACTGTGTGTTTATGTGTCTGTAGAGTTAGGGTATTTCTTCCCTTTAGAATCAATGATTGATTTTAGTTTTTTGAATGAATTTCTTTAATACATAAATGTGTATTTGTATGAAGTTTTAATAGCTGTGAATTTCTTGATATGGTTTATGTTGTTTGTTGTATTATCTACCTTCTTCTGATATAGATTGCTAATATTATTTCATGTCTTGTATTTATTTATATGGCGATATTTGATCCAATCATGGATCATGATTTTATTAAGTTCCTGCCTTCAACAACACATCGTGTTGATAGGTAATTTAACCATAAGTCCTTCAGGAATTAACTTACATTGTTTACAATTACAGAAGAAGGAACAATTTAGGACCATAACAGACACACACGACTTTGTAATAGATCTACCACAATAGCCCATTATGCCAAAGAAGAAGATCTTACACTATGTTGGAATAATAAGATATGAACCACCCTTGATAAAAAGAAAGATAAAAGAAGCCTTCTACATCCATCTAAGTAAATCTAATTGATAATACACTCAACCAAACAACAGAGAAATCAGCAAAACATAGATATCCATCTTAAAACTTTCATATAAGTTAGTTGATCAAAATTTCTAATGGGAAAGACTACTGAAGAGTGAATAGCACACTATCATCTCTATCAAGGAAACTCCGGTTTGAATCCTAGCTACTACCACCACCACAGAAACAGTCCTTCTTAGGACTTCACTGAATACAACAGCAGGTTTTGATTACAACCCAAAATGTAGGAAAAGATATTAGTAATTAGTAGTTAAAGTATAAATGCAAAATAAAATTAATTGTAACTAATGGATAATTGGATTTTGGTTTGTTTATGAGCATACATACACAATGGACTATCTGTGCTGTGTCCATTATTAACAAATTATTAAGTAATGAATAATTAGATTTAGGTGATCATACAAGTTACTAGCCATGACAACAAAGTAATCTGTATTTGAATGAGATTAAAACAAAACAAACTTATCTTGGAAATGAAACTCCTTTTTTGTCTTATACACTTATAATACTACATTTAACCTTTGTAATACCCTCCCACTTAACCCTGAGGTTCAAATACTCGGTACATGGTTAGTATAGAACAATATCTTTTGTATACAACAACGTAAACAGTAAAACAATATGACAATGTGTATTTTTGACAAAATCGAAAAGATATAACAGCCCTCTACATAACACAAATTTAAGTTGCAGTAAAAATAATTAACCAATGTTTTGTTAAAAACTCATTTTCCTGCATTCCAACGTTTTTATCATCCAAAATTATTTCATCCAGTCAACATATGATTAACAATATAAAGAATACAAGACACCAAAATGAAATAATTACAAATTCTCATTTATTAATTTCAGTTTTATATATCTTCATATGATCCATATACACAATTTTTAATTTTAAACACTTCTTTTGATAAAAAGAAAGTTTAAGCTATTATATTTTTAACAAAATATAAACAAAATAAAGTAGTATAGGAGTGAAAAGAACAAAAAATATAAAAAGTTTTAATAAAAATTACTTTTGAACAAATAAACCTTATCACAATAGAGGTCTGCAAGAATTATACACAAACACATTTTTTATTTCATTGAAATCTCTTGTAGTTCAAAGTTCATAATTTATAATGACCTTTAAACCTTGCTCATTTTGGAATAACTGGAAGAAGTATATACTGACACTAGAATTTCCCTGGAAAACAGTTTGTAGATTATTGGTTAAACTTGTGTGATAGACTACAGCATATTAGATACATTTACAGCCAAATTCATGAATCAATGTACTATAAGTCTGTTTTGTGAAACTGCATACTCCTATTTAGGATGGCACATTAAGTTACCTACATTATTTACTGACTTAATTTTTAGTTCTCTTCTAAGTAAATAGGTTACTTTGATCAGAAGTTATTGAGAAACCATGTACTGAAGTAGTAAAGTTAGCTGAATTATTATTATAATACACTATAATTATTTGGAGTATTCTATGTCTAACTGAAATTGAAATTCTTACTCAAAGGAAGGTGTCACTGACAAACAATAAAATCCTCAAAATGACAAACTATTTCTTGCATACAGTTATAAGCTGGTTTTGTCTTGCTGTGCTGATTGGTCCATGTTTGTGTTAGATTCTATTCTGGTTGAGCAGTAAGTTGAATGCATGATGGTTTGTTTTTAATAATCAGGATATTTTTGTGATAAGTCTTAATAAAATACAACCGACGTACCTGGAACTTTCATTTTAAATGCACAGCTCTCCAGTGAAGTTTAGTGATAAATGAAGTCCATTAATCAATGGTTAAGTCAACACTTTTTTAACACAGGAGCAAAATGAATCAAATATTAATGTAAATAAGGATGCTGGAATGCACAATTCAAGTATGTAAAGAAGTAAAACTTAAATCCAATTATTGTTAAAAGAAATAATAAATAGCTTTCATCGTTTTTCCACTTATAATTATTTATAACTGTAATAATGATGTTTTAGATGAAATACATATTTTTTTTTTTCAATATAAAATTCAATAAGGACTATATTTTTCTTGGTTTTGTGGAAGTATATATAAATCAAGCAGTTCTTCAAAGTTAACACTTACTTTTTCCTAATCATTTTCCAATTAACACTTAACTCGTAGATGTCTTTCTTTGAAGTCTGATTTATTTTTCTATCTTGCAATTTAAAAATGGATATAAATGTGATAGAAAACAGTTACATAGACAAGTTCTTTCACTGGCTACTTTCAGCCAAGTAATACAGTTTGTATTTGTTCTAATTTATCCTATAATTTAGAAAAAACATATTAATACCCGCCTAGGAATATATATATACCTTAATTACTTATAGAAAATAATCAGAATAATATCAGATATAGAAAGGAAAAATATTTAATTTATTACAAAATTTTCTTTTGATAATTCTATATGCTTATCCCATGATCATGCATGACTACTTTTATAAATCATTTTTGAATAATAATTTAACATTATTTTAGAGTAAGTTAAGATCCCAAGTTGATACTTCTGACATAAAAATGTTATCCTTCTAAGTGTAAAGAGTTTCACACACACACATAAGCTACGTTAATCCAGTTTGCAGAATAACATTAGGTGATTTCATAATAATTTAGTTTTCATTATTACTACATGCATTTCCCAGCTCCTTAGCTCTCAAGGTAGCTGCCTCAACAGCTCGAAGCAAACCTGTTCTTAAGCCTGCTTCTTCCAAAGCACAGACACCATAAATGGTAGTGCCACCTGGTGAACAAACTTCATCTCGCAAAACAGTAGGATGTCGACCAGTTTCTAGTACCATTTTTGCCCCACCCTATAAATGTTCAAATACACTCAAGTTTCAAGATATCAAAAGAAATATATTAAAATTTATATTATATAAATAATACCTAACACCAAAGCCTATAACTGAGATACTTAAAGTTAATAAAAAACACACTACAAATAACACAATTAAACTACTACTCTTCTGACTGTGATAAAAGTTTAATATACTTCAAATTATGTAGCATAAACACGACCTTATATCTCTCATATTGCACCGTTGTCAAAAGTTATATGCGACCTAATTGAAAATAAATCTAGTTTTCAATATGTAAAGGTAAATACAAAAATATCTAGCATGAATGTTACTAACACAAAAACAAAGTTATCATTTTCCTAAACTGAAAATGTATTTCCAAACATACTTACCTCCGCTGACACTAATAGCTATTTCTCGATCTTCATCTTTGCCATCTAACATTGTGTTTGCTTGCTCCAGTCTTTATATACCCCCACTCGACTGCCCTCGGCAATATCTAATTTGCAAAACTTGTGCTGGCACTCACACACCCTCTATGCAGGTACTGTATATAAGCCTTGTATGCAGACAATAAAATCACTTTTTGGCGACTTACCTCATTTCGATGGGGATGAAGGGAGGGAGAGTGTCAACAGAGGTAAGTATGTTTGGAAATACATTTTCATTTTAGGAAAATGATAACTTCCAAAACATACAAACCTCCGCTGACACTAATAGCTAGAATCCCACAATGAGAAGGTGGAGGGGCCGGTGAGGATAGAGATCATACAGAAAGCATCTGCAGAGAACAAATATGTACCACGAGAAATGGTATCAAAGTGGGGAACACCGCATTACATCCAGAATAGGTGTGCTCTTCACCCAGACCTATAGAAAATTGAAAAGGGTGGAATATAATACAAGTATAAGGGTCCAGCCCTGACCAAACAGCCGTGGTTCCACAACTCGGGTTGGATTTAAAGGGTCATAGTACCCACATCCCACATTGGTGGCCAGGGCAGTTGGACCGCAGATATATCTTTGTGATAGGATCCCTACCAGTAACCATAGAATGATACATTTCGAACCACCAGATTTATGAAAGAAAGAAAGCAACACCAAGGTGGACAATCCTTCTGATCAACCTGAAGAAGGTCAAAAGGCAACATCCCAGGTCTGGATTGATGGGATCATATGCCATACTTCACCAAAGTCCAGAACTCATCCAGTCTGGATTCACAAACAGTTGTCTTTACCCCCCACCAAGTGGGCAAGGAGAATTCTGCTTACCCATGGAATTATGGAGAGGGTGTGGAACACTGTCCCACCAAGGACCTGACATTGTACATAAGAGGTTTTATGAGTAGGCTCCCACATAGATTGTTCCTGCTTCTACCGACATCTGGTAAAAAACTTCCAGGGACCGAGGTAGGAGGGTCCCCAACTTTGCCCTCTTCTCCGAGAATGGAGGAAACTCAACACTCCGAAGGAAAATCCTCTGTTCACCACCCCTGTGATTGGGAATTGAGTGCGGTAAGGACTCCCGAGCTCCACTAGTAGAAGTAAGGGGGGAACATAAGCATTGGGGGGTCCTGAGGAACAGTACCCCCGGAGACAGTGCAACAGGTGAACCATGTTCCCTAAATTTTAAAAGCAAACTGATCTCGACTGATTCAGCTCTAAGATCAGCAGGGACTGGCAAAATCCCTTTTAGTTTTACTCATGATAGTCCATGAGTAGCAATCCATTACAAATATTGTAATAAAATATCACCATCCAGAATGGTCTTACGAAATACCTCATCTCGACAGAGCCCATTGCAATCAGAAACCGATATAAAGGTTGCTAGTGTGGAATTTAAATACAAGCATATCTGAGTGGACAACACTTGCCACAGAGTGGGATCTAAAAGAAATCAATAGGGACCCTAGAAGAGAAAAGAACAATAACTGTAAGTCAGATAACACATTACTCACCTCCCTATTAAAATCTAGCAGAGGTAGTCAACACAGCCACAGTGGTAAGATGAAATCCCATCGAAAAGGAAACTGCCAGATCATGAAGGTAATGAGATATGAACGTGTCGGGAGAAGTCCAAATACTGGCCTGCAATATATTTTCTAGAGAACAGTTCATCTGGTCAGCCAAAGACATCAATAGGTGTTGAATCTGGTGAGAGGTGACGTGGATCATATTGTGATTGTTAACAGATAAGCCATTAGGCAATATGGATCAACTTCCGAAGCCATCTGGTTAAAGTAACAGTTGATAAATCCATGGACACTTTAGGATCCCAATGAATAAAAAGTCTGTTCCTAGAGCCTCGAATCGATTCTGTATGAGCCACATAACATCTGAGCGCCCTGATGGGACATAACAAGCGATCCGGATCTGATCTACTATAAAGATGAGAAATGCCATGCAATTGAATAGAAGAAAAAGATTTGTTTCCTTCTCTGGCATCGAGAGTTTTTGAAATAAATGATCGGTCGGGAGAGAGCAAAACATAGGTAGAATGATAGAGAATCCACTGAACATGAATGGCAAATAAATCAGAACGACGGTGTCCGTAAGCTAACAGCAATAAAAAATAAACTGTGTTGGAAAGGATAAGCATTGTATGCAGTCAATAAATCACTTTTTATTGACTAACGTTTTGTGATTTACATTTTCTTAGTTTTTGCTTTCTAATAATTGGGAATTCTTAGTTTTGTTATCCAGAGATATATTTTGTTGAATTTGTTTTTTTGTTTTTTCTTACAAATATATTGAAAAAAAAAAGGATATGAATCCCCATGGGGCACTCTCCATGGAAGCTGTCCGTGATTCGGAGTGAGATGGAGTCCTTCATGCGGCCCTGGAGTATCTCTCCAGGAGATGCTAATTTTAATTTTCATTCTGAAATAGGATATTCTGACTCCCTGTTCCCTGCTCCTTCTTCCACTATAGATTCCTCTCCTGAGGACTCATCTGATCAGCCACCTTCTGCATAATTGGGACTTTAGGGTTTTCTTACATGCTTTATCATGTCATCCCCTCGAATCCATGGCTTCCTGTTCAGTATATCAATACAGTACCTACATAGAGGACGTGTGAGGGCCCGCATAAAGTTTTGCAAATTAGATATTGGGTATATAAAGACTGGAGCAAGCAAACACAATGTTAGATGGCAAAGATTAAGACTGAGAAATAGCTATTAGTGTCAGCAAAGGTATGTATGTTTTGGAACTACTGATTATGGCAACAGTAACAGTATTAAGTTGATATTAATTTATGCAAGTTGCAAAGAAACTTTATAAAAACAATTAATACAGAATAACTGTAAAATTTGTCAAAATAAAATAAAAAGTACAACTTTACATATACTTACCTAGGTAAAGAAAAAATACTAAACTTTTGCAAAGTGTTTCTTAAAAATAACCAGAGAAGTAACCTCTGACTAAAATTTTTCAAAATAGAATAAAACACAACTTTGCACCTATCTACACAAAACTTTCCAAGCAAAGTAACACTAAACTTTGTGTCTTACTGTGTTGATTTCATGTTCAGTTTTGTTTTTTTGTTTTGGAATTTCACTCAAAGCTACATGAGGGCTATCTGCAGTAGCCATCCCTAATTTAGCAGTGAAAGACTAGAGGGAAGGCAGCTAGTCATCACCGCCAACTCTTAGACTACTCTTTTACCAACAAATAGTGGGATTGACCATCATAATATAATGGCCTCACAGCTGAAAGGGCAAGCATGTTTGGTGGGACATGATTCGAATCGATGACCCTCAGATTACAAGTCAAGCACCCTAACCATCTGGCCATGCCGAGCCCATTCACGTTCAGTATGTTGCCCTTTACCAGATTTTTTTTCTTTTGATTATTTGACAAGGAATATTCACATCACAGAATTGAATCTTTTTCTTTTCTTACCAGATGTACTGTAAACTTAAATTTATCATACAAGCTGATCAAAATGATTAAGTACAAGCTGTTAAATGTCAAACTCAGGCAACAGACAGGACAAATTTGATGATATACAAGTATTAAATCTCAATACTTCAAACAACAATTGTACAAAAAAATAGTGCTTAATATAAGTAGATGGCAAGACTTCAGTTGTGGTTGTTCTTGGAACCCTGAAAATATATTCTAATTAAAATGTTTTATATATGAGTTTTGAGTAAAAACGAAAAATTTTGAGATTTCTTACAATTTTTTTTTAACTTACCAGAACAGTTTGAGCAGCAAATTTAACAGCTAATGAACGTGGAAGACCCATCTTAACTGCTCCATCAGCCATAGCCTGTATAATTGTATAGACCTGAAGTATGCATAAATAAAAACAAAGTTAAAAAAGACAAGATAGTTCCCAAATAATAGCTTAATACATGTTCTACTCTCTACTCTAAACTGACCATTTAAGTATGGTAAAAACAACAAGACTTTGCAATGAATATTGGCAGACAAACAAACTGTGACCAAACTGTACACAGCAATTTGATTCCAAAATTATTGGGTCAACTTCGAGAGAGAGAAAGAGAGACTGTACTATTAAGCCTTAAGCAACACCAGTTCAAAAGTTCAAAGCTTTGGGCAGCAGTGTCCACTGAAATATTTTATTTACAGTACAGAAGTCAGTTGAGCAGCTGAATAACCAGAAACTTGGTTTTCAAAGTTAACAGCATTGTATGAATAGCAAGCCCCCACTAAATGAATTTGTTGTTTGTTAATCATTGTGGGCACAAAAAACATATGATTACAAATACAAAGCATTTTTCTTTTGTTTGTTGTTAAGTGCAAAGCTACACAATGGGCTATCTGTGCTATGCCCATCACAAGTATCAAAACCCAGTTTTTAACACTGTGAGCCCTCAGACTTACTGCTGGGGGGAAAAGTAAAGTTATTCCATTACCTTTCATCAGGAAAGAGAGATGTCTGTACCACATTTGTTAATCTTAAAGTAAAATATCTTGAAATATACAATACTAATCTAATTTTTTGTCCAAATCCATGCTTAACTGAAGTTAATCTATATACTACTAAGACTATGAGATTGTTTGTTTGCTTGTCTGTAATTAAATACAGCAAAAATGGCACACAATATGAGAATATAAATATGAATAGAATATGAGAAATGAGAATAGAAACAGAATAAAACAAGTTTCGTTAAAATTGGGCCATGGGTTACCGAGTTAGCTCAGTAACCCGGGTCACTTTTGTAAAAATTTCTAGCATGAGTAATTTTACATCATACTACCATTCGTGCTCTTTATGAAACTTCTTCGTTCAAATCTATTTCCCTGTCAATGTTCCCATCTTCATTAAAAGGCTTAAGATGACAAAAACAAGATCTTGAAGAATTTCTCAATAATGTGCCTTGGTTATGGTAGGTAAGGAAATGAGAAAATTTTTCTCAGTCAAATTCTTCATAACCTCTGAATAGTGGGTGACCCAATGGGTCATGGGTGGTCTAGTTTATAATAATTTTTATATTTTCTTTTTTGATTGAAAGAGCATGCACATGAGAACTTATATCTAAAAAACTTGATGAATATGAAAATAATTATTCCATTCTCTAAATTTTAAAAGTAAAATTATTTTGAGAGAAAGAAGGACTTCAACATGGCAAGAATCAGCTAATCTACTATATAAAAGTTGTCCTCCACTGTATGTAAGGCAATAGAGCAGCACACAGAAACAAAACACCAACATGAAAACAAAGATGTACGTTGCATTTAATGGAAGACTCATAATACTAAAAGGCTAAAATTCAAGACACTTGTGTAAACAGATAACTAAAATACTCAACCCAGCAATGTCTTTAAGTATACAATTTAAAAACTTTATTCTGAAACTGTCAACGATCTAAAAACCGGCAGTTTACATGTTTTGATGTACAAATCACTTGAAACTGAGATAGCTAGAAATATATAAATACAAAGTAAGGTTGGTTTGGTTTGTTTTGAATTTCACTCAAAATTACATGAGGGCTATCTGCACTAGCCGTCCCTAATATAGCAGCGATAGACTAGAGGGAAGACAGCTAGGCATCACAATCCACTACCAACTCTTGGACTACTCTTTTACCAATGAATAGTGGGATTGACTGTCACATTATAACACCCCCACAGCTGAAAGGGCTAGCATGTTTGGTGACAGGGAATTGAATCCATGACCCACAGATTAAAAGTCGAGCACCCTAACCACCAGGCTATGCCAGGCCTCTACAAAGTAGGGATAGCCATCTTTGTTATCCAATAGTCTTTTACGGGTTTCTTTTTTAATTCACCATACAGTAACCAAAATTAATTTCCCCGAAAGGGGCTGAAGACCACCTGGAGGGGTCTCCTGTTTTAACCACTGATGCCACTATACAGTAGTTTTGTCTGTCAGTCAGTCAGCACACTAAAATTACATCACATAAGGGACACTTAACATTGCAATTTCTACTGTCGTGACGTCAGTAAAACGTGCATGCCATGAATCACAAGAAGAATTATGCACTCTGTAGGCTACAACACAGTATGACATATGAACTTGAAAAGCTAGAAATAAAAATATTTGTTACTCTTAATTTTGGTTTTATTTACTCTTGAAACAAAACACTTTTGGAGACCCTGCAAGTACATCTAGTTTAGGTTTGTGAAACTACACCTAATTTATCATTTGATATTATACAAGGGGCCAACTGTTTAATGATCATATATATAATCAGATGTATATAATATTTACGGGTTTTTTTAATTGTTTTTAAATCAGCATACAATAACCAAAGTAAATTTAGGTGAGTAAATAATGTTACAACATTGCCCCTAATTCATTATTTGATGCACAGTGGACCAACTATTTAATGATTATATATGTTATAGTTTTCTTTTTTTTCACCAAAGATAAAATTAAAAGAAAAATCTGTAACATAGAGACCTAATGCATTCCTTAATTGGCTTTACCCTTTGTTATAGACTGAAGTTTTGTGTATTCAAGGCAAAAAAAAAAAAAAAAGACATGAGAAAAACATTGCTTTATAAACCTTAAGACTTAATAAAAAAAATGATATTTTGCATATGAAAGCATTGTAATGTTTACTGCTAATCTGCCAAAGTTTGTTAACATTCGCTTACTGATTTAAAGGTTATAGCATGAAAACTATAACAAGCACAAAATGGTTACGAGGTTAGTCCCATGGACCAAGCCCATGCTGAAAGAGTTAAAGAAAAAAAAAGTTTTCTTACATATGCTGGACCACTTCCACTCAGGCCTGTTACAGTATCAATGAGATTTTCTGGAACAATTTCACACATTGCAACCGACCCAATCAAGTTGCTAACCACTGTTGCATCCTCTTCAGTAGCGTATGTTCCTCGGGCATACCCACAGACACCTACTTGAACCAATGATGGAGTATTTGGCATGGAACGAATTACACGTGTTTTTTCTGGCAGTAACTAGAAAAATAAAAATGCATCAAAAAATTAAATTAGTCAAACACTTCTTTAATAGAATACAGATATTAAACTGAGGGTATTAAGTAAAATTTATATATTTACACAAAAAAGTAATATCCTTTATTGTTTGTTTTTGTATTTTCTTATAGTTTCATGTTCCATTAGACAAGCAATGAAAACCACTAAAATGAACTATTCACTTATCATTGATTTTTTTGGGTCCAATGACAGGACAAAATTATTAAAAGTTCTTCAGTATTTTAGTTAGATAGTAGAAGAATATTTCGAATAATTTTCTAACTGAGTAACATATAAAAACAAAGGAAAAAAAGGAAAAGATGCTATTTAAAAGTAACATCTAATGTTCAGTGTTAATTAATCTAATCAAAAACACCTTAGGTGCAATAAAAAGTTGTGGCCTAAAAAAAAGGATTGAGTGTGCGACTTAAAGGAATGAAATCAAAATTGGCAGACAAACAGGTAGCTACACTTATAGCATTGATAAGAATTTTACAGCAAATATTCATTCATTAGTTAGCCAGGCTGAGTTATTTTGTTCAACTCT